ACACTTCCCTGGTATGAGGAGGAGGGGTATTGTCTTGAAGCTGATAAGGAGGCAAAGGCAGGACAGCATGTCTGGGAAACCACCTGGAAGAGAGCCCACACCAAAATACCCCTCCCCCAAGCCAACAGCATGGGGGTATAGAGCAGGCTTCCTTTGATTCAGAGGGAAAGCTGAGCTTTTATAGTTAGCCAGTATGCCGATCCACATCTTTCTTTTGCATGCCAAAGATGTTTGAGATGCTGATGGGGATTTGGGCAATGGTTATCATGTCACAAAGGCCGAATCAACCCAACTAAGTATCATGAGAGGGCTTGGCATGATGTGGTCCATATGTCACAAAGGCATTTTTGACCCTCAAAAATATGCTGCAGGGATAAGCTACAGAAGATTATTGAAGGTGACTGAGGAAAGAAGCAAGTGCTTGAAGGTAAAAGAAAGGATAAGGCAAAGAACAGAAATGAGAGTCCCAATGGATAGGGAGAGGGAGGAAGCAGAAGGGAAAGGAAAGAAAGGTGAGGCAAAGCTGACTGAAGCTGCTTCTACACAAGGAGGATTCACTTTGTAGCTCTTGTTGCAACTGTGAATGGAGTGTCCACGTGACAGTTTCCCTCTCATTTTCCTTGCCTTGCCCCCCTGCAGCCACTTTTTTTCTCCCACGCAGAAGGCTTTTTTAAAAAAAATGTAGTTGCTGTGTTACTATAGCATTTTAACAATCTTTTGTCATAATCCATTTGTTTCTCTTAATTCCCACCTTTAATTTTTTTAAAAAAGTGAGCCTCTGGCCTCTTTTGTTGTGGAGATATACCTTTCCCCTTATATCTCCACAGAGAAAATGACTAGAGACTTAAAAAAAAAGAAAGCTAGGGATTCAGTGGAGCTAGTAGAGCATAGTAACAGATCATTATAACATTATTGTGCTGTAGCAATCTAGCCAATAGTTATTTTTTTAAAAACCCTCTGTTTTAATGTGGGGAAATGGTGACTATGGACAGCTGAGGAAAATAAAAGGATGCCAGTATAAGGATGTTCAAAATGTACAGCTTCCTGGACACTCACTGTGCAAAAAGATTGTTATCAATCCAGGCTTGGGCAAGGCAGGCAAACCCCAGAGAGCAGATGATTAGGGGACAACGTTGTGTTGATGCCCCCCTCCCCTCCCCCGACCCCAGCTCTGCTCCAGTTTGGACCAGAGCAAAATCTACATGTGGAAGCAATCTGAGAAGGGAAGTTGGGACTACAGTTACAGCTCTATTGTTATGGATACATTTCCTTACACATGTCCACCACTTGGGACATTTCACTCACAGAAAGTAAATTTTTACAAACGTATCTTTCTTAAGCAAAATGTTCATATGAAATCTATACTAATTTTTTTTCAACTGCTTAGATAATCTGAGATTATACTATTAAGTACTAGTGAGAAGTAAAAATGGGTTGTAACCTGTCTCCTGTATATTTCTACATTTCTTTCTCAACCTCTCTATACATAATTAATCTTTCTCTTTATCTTGTTCCTTTTGACTATCTTTGTTCTTTCCTAGTTAAATTATTTACTACCCCCTCTTCTTTTCATTTAAGCTCTCTTTATCTTGTGAGCTGCTTTCTTTTATTCTGAAATCTCTGCTGTCTAAAAGCATAATCAGATGACATCCACTACTGAACAATTTAAAAATCCCAGTGCATTCGTGAAAATCATTTAACTGTATATTTATTGATGGCAAGGTATGTCATGCGGATATGAAGCTGAAATATTTCAGATGGATATGAATTAAAAGGTCAAGGACTTTGGGGCTACAATTACCAACAAACCTTTACATATTACTTCTGTCACCCTCAGTAGATTTTCATGAGGCCTGTTAACAGATACAATTTAGTAGATTAAGCGCAACACCAAACAGAAGTACACCCCTTTAAATCCATTGAATTCAATGGATTTAGATGTGTGTAACTTTTCTTAGGATCGCATTGTAACTGTTTTTAAACAATTAGTAATTAAAACAACCCATTAACAACAGGCTACAGAAAGTCAGAAGGAAGGAAGGAAGGAAGGAAGGAAGGAAGGAAGGAAGGAAGGAAGGAGTGATTTCAAATATAGGGTTTTTGTTCTTCTTGAACATATTGCTTGAGAACAATGGGGTTTGTCACCTTCTGACCTAACAAGTTCCACAAAGCCCACCAGCAATGGTTTATGCCCTTTCTAGTGGCTTGACAGTCCCTCTGTTTTTTGTAGCCCAAAAGAGGAACCAAAAACAAGCTTATTGGGCAATTCTTGGAGAGCTGCATTTGGCTTGGTGGACGAGGTATGCAAGCTCATTTTAAGAGCTGAATACTTTATTACAACAATGCCTTTTGTTCCCCACTCTGTTAACAAAGAAAATTGCAGTTAAATCGATATCTTTATTTGTACCTTCAGATTCCTAAAAGGCAGGATAACCAAAAACATTAAAAAGCCCTCTCAGTTTCTTCCCAGAACTGTCAGTCAACACACATAGATGAGTGGATATACACTAGCATTGCTGATGCTATACTCGGAGGGAAGCAACACACTAAATTCTACACCTTTATTCAGAAGTCCAAATAGGTTCAGAAGGAGTTGCTTTCTGGTAAATATGCTTAGGATTCCAACCCAAAATCATCATTTGTCTCTGTCAAAACATACACACAATATAAATATAGAGAGAGGCAGACAGAGAAAGAGATGAGAGAGAAAGGGACGAGTTTCCCCAGACTGCCTGATTAGTCTTTGGTAAGGAAGTCTGTTTCAGATGTCAAGAAAAGTCTGCACCAAATTTATATATGCAAGAATAGGTCACAGTACAGGTTGCAGAAGAGCTCAGTGAGAGAACCCCCCAATCCATGATGCTGTAAATTGCCAGGGACTTGAGCACAGTAATTTCCTCTCTTCACCCTCCCCTCCTTCTAGAACCAGCATGGTGCAGTTGTTAAGAGCAGCAGACTCTAATCTGGAGCACCAGGTTTGATTCCCTACTCTTCCATATGAAGTCTGCAGGATAACCTTGGGCCAGTCACACTTCCCTCAGAACTCTCTCAGCCCCACCTGCCTCACAAGGTGCCTGTTCTGGGGAGCGGAAGGGAAGGTGCTTGTAAGCCCCTTTGAGACTCCTTAAGGTAGAGAAAAGCTGGGTAGAAAACCCAACTCCTCCTCCTCCTCTTCTTCTTGTAGTGTTTATGTATTTTAATTGAATTATTTTATCATTTTATACACGTACACACGCAATGTATATAAACTTGTTATATATGCCATCAAATTGTTCTTAAGATTTAATTTAAATGGGTTTTAGTCTTAGACTAATTTTATATATGTCTGTAAAACTGTGTTTTAAGCAATGTTGTACACCACCCTGAGTCCTTTGGGTAGGGTGGTATAGAAATACAAATACAATATAGAAATAGAAATACAAAAATAAATAAATACTGGTGAATATTCTACTGTAAACTTCATGAAAGAGGATAGTAAAAAATTAATAAAATCTTGGACAACGATTTTCTAATTGTGACATGTTATCTAACGATCAGTTTCCTCACATCTTATATGTTTGGATGAGTAATATTGACATGTGCATTAAATTGCCTGTATGAAAATTGATGATTTATTTGGTATATAGGGCTCTGGTTGTTTTAACATGTTAAGGCTTACTATATGGTCCAGGAACATCCTTAACAAACTTTGTGACACTTAAGTTGTCTGCAGTTTTGCTTCCTACTTCTACTTTTTATCACTTTTTAAAACAATTCTAAGTTGTTTTGTCATGCTTCCTCTGTTCTAGTCTGTTAAAGTGTGACTCATGTAAACACCTTGAATGCCCTCTCGTCTAAATTTTGTCACTTTCCTATCTTTTAAAAACTTATTTATGGAAATAAGCAATCTTTACTCTTTCAGTTATCCTCACTATGAAGAAATTTTGTACAATAGACTCTCTTTACTGGTAGTAGGACAACATAGTTTCAGGGTCCCCCCACATTTTCCAATTCCACCTTACACTTCAGTGTTATGCTCCCCCCATACTTTTAAGTTCCTCTACTTTGTATTGCCTTCTGTCTTAACTTAAAATTTTCCATCACAGCTACCCTTGGTCATCATACCTGCCTTTGTTTTTGCTTGTGTTTTGATAAAGGATTTCTCCCACTGCTTTTTAGAGCATAGTTTTACAATACTTCTTATTTCCTTTCCTTATATTGCATGCATTTTCTATATGGATATTGCTATTTGTTTAATAATATTCTTTCAAATATCTTTTAATTTTTATTCATGAGTTCCTGTCCAATGTATTTTCATATAGTTCTTTTAGTGGACTAATATTAGTGCCTGGTAATTTGTTAGAAACTTCCCCTTTTCTGTGGGTTTGTTTTATATGTTGTTACCTCTTGAAAGTGGTATATGAATATGCTTTCTTAATAATACATTTTTATTGCATATGCTATGAATTTTCTAAATTGCTAGGTAGGAAGTCCTTTTCTTCAGCATAGGTATGATTGTCAACAATTTTTCCCTCACAAAATCTCTATTGCTACTTTCTCATTCATATATCATATTTTTATCTTACCCTTCCCCCATGGAGCTCAGGGTGGGAGCTACAACCCTGTGAGGAACGTTAGACTGAGAGTGACTAGGCCCAAGTCACCAATGACCTCCATGGGTGATGAAAAGTACGCAGATAGACGAGTGATTTCAGCTAACATACTTTATTAGGGAGGAACAAGACAACTTTAGCCGGCTCGCAGGCCGGCTTATATTCCCTGTGAAACCACCACCCAGAACACACCCCCACATCACAATAGGTTATTTACAGTGGCTGAGAGTTCCATAGGCTCTCGGCTGGGAACCTAGCCCTCTGATAGGTGCAGGCTAGGATCCGCTTAGTTCATTGTTTCCTTGAGCGAAGCTCGACATTTGCGCTTGACCGTGTGGAGCCCAAGCCAGCCACAGGGTCCGAACTGGATACATTACACCCTCCCCCCTTGGTCTGCAACACACCCACAGATAAAGTCCTTGAGTTGTGCCGGTGCTTTTCTAGTGTGGTTAGAGCGGCGCAGCTCAGGGACCGGGGCTGGCTCCACCGCCAATGCACCCGGCGGAGTGCTGGCCAGGTTTGGCGCCGTGGGCCCCGGTACCGGCGTTCCATATGCAGCCAGGAGGTTGTCCTCGTGTGCGCCCGTGGGGAAGGGCACAGGCTCTGCGGCAGGCATCGCTGATGAGGTTGACGTTTGTGGTGGTGTTGCGGATTCTGGGGTGTCAAGGGTTTCAAAGTCCTTGGGGTCCAGCAGCAGCGTCCGTCGCCGCAGCTGGTCAATATGACAGTGTAGGATTTGGCCGTCCTCACTGGAGACCTCATATGATCTGGGGCCCTTGACTCTCACCACTCGAGCCGGAATCCAGGCTGGACCCCGTGCATAATTCCTGGTGTACACAGGATCCTCTGGAAAGAATCCCTTGTGCCTCCTCCAGAGCGTGGTCTGGGTGGAGACGGTCCAGCCGGGTCGTGAGGCGGCGACCTAGGAGGAGTTCTGCTGGACTGCGCCCTGTCATGGTGTGGGGTGTAGTTCGTTGGCCAAAAAGGAAGGCTGCCAACTTATAGTCCCAGTCCTGTGAGTACAAACGGCGGAGTGCATCTTTGGTTGTCCTTACCATACGCTCTGCTTGGCCATTGGTCGCAGGGTGAAATGGGGCAGACCGGACATGACAGATCCTGTAGTACCGGGTGAACTCCTGGTATTCACTGGACATGAATGCAGTCCCGTTGTCCGTGACCAGGGTGTCTGGGATGCCCTGAGCACTAAAAATCTGCCACATTGCCCGGATTGGCGCTTTAGACGAGGTGAAGGGCACGGGGACTACCTCCAGCCACTTGCTGTAGGCATCCACCAGGATGGAGAAGAGTTGGCCCTGGAAAGGTCCCGCAAAGTCCAAGTGCAACCTGGACCAGGGTCGGTGGGAGGATTCCCAGGCTCGTTCTGGGGCCCTGGGTGGTTCTGACTGATGAGAATGCTGAGACGACCGATGGCGGACCTGTAGAACCTCTTCCTCATCTGAGGCGTCGAAACCTACAGTTGCTCGTGTGCGGTGGACTGCCTTGGCGCAGCAGTCTTGGTGGGTCTTCTTGTACGTCTCCCGGATCACCTTGTTGAGATCCAGGTCGTCCTGGCTGACCAGCTTCCTCCGGAGCTTGGGCTCCCGTAGTCCCAAGAGGAACCGAATGAGAAGTGCTTCAGCCAGGTCTGAAAGTGAACGCCTGGTGGCGGCCTGTCGCAGAGCCGCAAGGAAATCAGAGGCGGTCTTGTCAGGGCCCTGGACTTTCGCTAAAAAGTCCATCCTCTCCACAAACTTCGTGGGTTTGGGAGCCAGGTGATCTGAGAGCGCCTTGAACAAAGAGGTGTAAGATTCGTCTTTGGTCAGCCGGGGCACTATCAGGTCCTTCAGTAGGAGATGGGCCTCCATCCCACAGTGCTGGAGAAGGTATGCCTTCTTTTTACCCGGGTCGGTGACATCGTGGATGGTGAAGTGGCTCTTGAGGGTCTCCAGTCAGGTTTCCCACTGCGAGGGCTGGGAGATGTCGAAGGCAGGGAGGCTCTTGGATGCGGCAGCTATCTTACGATTCCACGAGGATCATTGTTGAGGAGCGGTGCGATGCTGCTCTCACGGTCAGCGGTGCGATGCTCGGTGAGCGGTGCGATGAGCGGCAACTGGGATGCGGCACTAGGCGAAGCTGCATGCGGTGATCTCGGCATGGAGACTCGATGCGATGCTTGGAACGTGGTCTCTGTTCAGGGGAGATGAACAGTACGCAGATAGGTGAGTGATTTCAGCTAACGTACTTTATTAGGGAGGAACAAGACAACTTTAGCTGGCTCGCAGGCCAGCTTATATTTCCTGTGAAACCACCACCCAGAACACACCCCCACATCACAATTGGTTATTTACAGTGGCCGAGAGTTCCATAGGCTCTCGGCCGGGAACCTAGCCCTCTGATAGGTGTGGGCTAGGATCCGCTTAGTTCATTGTTTCCTTGAGTGAAGCTCGATGTTTGCGCTTGACCGCATGGAGCCCAAGCCAGCCACGCGGTCCAAACTGGATACATTACAGGTGAGTAGGAATTTGAACTTGGATCTCCTAAGTTCACCATACTAGATTCATATCTTAATTTCTCCTTAAGCTCCTACAATAGCTTTTCTAATTCAATTGCTGCTCTTGAAATGTGGATATCTTATCTAGGGTTTTCTAACAGTGCCTTACAATCCACTGTCCCTCAGTGTACATTTTCCTCCTTCCTCCCTTCTACAATTTTGCTTTCTCTCATCTTCCTTGTTTACATGATGTTTCATACTTCCCTATGGAATACTTCCCGTGTTATATCATTTTGTGGCTGTATTTTGCCCTCAGTTTCAGACATTGACCTGTGGTTTAATCTGTAACCCTCCTTTTCTCAAAAAGTGTGTTGTTGTTGTTGTTCAGTCGCACAGTCGAGTCCGACTCTTTGCGACCCCATGGACAAGCTCCCGCCAGGCCCTCCTGTCTTCCGCTGTCCTCTGAAGTTGGCTCAATTTCATGTTCGTTGCATCGATGACACTGTCCAACCATCTCATCCTTTGCCATCCCCGTCTTCTTTGACCTTCAATCTTTCCCAGCATCAGGGGCTTCTCCAGTGAGTGCTCCCTTCTCATTTGGTGGCCAAAGTATTTAAGCTTCAGTTTCATTATCTGGCCTTCCAGGGAACAGTCAGGGTTGATTTCTTTTAGGATTTTCTTTTCTTTTCTAAACCATTAGGTGCAGTTCTTTTATAACAGTAGTCAGTTTCGACAGTTACCTAGCCATTCCCAGTTGCTAGTTCTGCACCCAAAACCTTTCTTTCCTCATAGCTTTCCATTGTGTTTATAGGAGGATTTTAGGGCTTTCCCTCTCTCTATCATCACATTTTTCTTTTATTACTGAAGTCATATATTCCTGCATTTCTGTGGTGCCCTCAGAGAAATGCAGAAATGTCAGCTTCACATGTGGATGAATCTGCTTCACAGCCCTATAGATTGGCATGAGGTCATCAGGTTGAGTGAGAGACACAAGGAATTGCGGGAGGGGAGAACAGTTTGGCAACCCCCCCTCCCAAACCTTGCTCTAGGACCACCCTGTGCGCTCTTAGCAGTTGCAGGCTGATTTCTTCTCTCCTCTTGCTTTTCAGTAACTGACACTCAGTTTCTCTCAACCTTTCTCATATATTTGTTTGTTGGAAAATTTGGAAATAAAAAATAAATTATGAGGGGGAGTTGAAGGGTTAACACTAAGTACAGCATGGCTCTGTTCAGATAGTTATGAAGGGGAATGAATGGAGACACCTGCATTAATGGCATACTTTTAGAATACTGCTTTTTCCATGCCCCAGGGAGCTTACAATCTAGAACAGATAAGGGGGAGGGAAGAATTAAGGGAGGAGAGACAGGCAAGGAGAGGGAGGGATGGGACTGGGCAATGTAGGTATGTGTATTTAAAACACAGGGCAATTGAAAATAAGGTTAAGATGTTAAGCCAAAACCCTCAAAGAAAACATAGGTATTGAGGAGGTATCTGAAGAGGAAGAGAGGTGACACCACACACGTGTTCTGGGAAAGAGCACTTTACGATACAGTTTATTACTTGAGATTTATTTAACGTTAAAATAAGCCCACTGACTTTCAGGTAAAGTACGTGAGAG